CATGGATTCACCTGCTGTGTGAAGTTCAAACATGTGAACCTTTACCCTCATTGTTACCCTCTTGAGCAATAGTCATGGCACATCAGTATCTGAAATTTTCCCTCTCGCGTCTCATGAGTCGCGACGTCGTCGCGAGACTTCTCAAGACTTCAAGTTCGCAAGATTTGCGTTACGCGGGTGATTTTGTGCGGGGCACCGCGACCCCGGTAACGATTTCTGCCCGTGACGCCAAGCAAGTACCTCGCAGCGTGGAAATTTCAGAGTCAGTGCCTACCTACAGCTGTATTTCTTATACGGAAACCCATCATACATTCGAGTAGTCGTTGAAGTAACCAAACCATGTCCACCATCGTCATCGGCGTCCTCTTTTTCATGTGTCTATGCGCCACAGCTTTGGAGCCCTTGAGCGAGAACTCGTAAGTCAACCGCTGAGTCGATCAACTCATCATCTTTATGTCTTTAGGTTGACACAGCACAGCAACGATGCTATCCCAGGTAAGCCTTCATATCGCTCTTTCAAGCATACTCCATTTCAGACGGCGCAATATATGGAAAACCTATTGGGGAATGTAAAGATGTGGGAGGAAGAATAACTGGATGTCATTGCGGGCCGAATGTCTACCCCTTTCCAGTGATGGTAAGTTGTGAAGTCTTGACTCATTGGTGATGCCAAATGTGCTCAGAGAAGCAACCAGCCTTACGCAGTTGTTTGCTCGACGTGGTGCCATACGATCGGCAGCTGTCCCAGGGCGCCCGCTGGACTCAAGACAGATTGCTTTCTAGAAACGTGTCTCATTGATTGCAAGGAGGATACAGTGAGTTGATCGAGTCCCTCCTACTTTGATCGAACACTTTTTCTCAGGACTGCCCTTCGGGTGGAATATGCTTACAAGTGGATCCGCCGAGATCAGCTTGCTACTATACGCTCAACTCCACCTCCTCTATGTGAGACGCCCTCCCCCCAAGCCAGCGGGTTTTTTTTGTTTATTTTCCATCAATCGTTCACGACGGGAGGAGACTAGCTGATATTTTTTCTATCGTCATGGGGTTTTTACACCTCGGTCGTGGCTTCACCTTCTTCAAGACTCAATCAGACTCTACGACCCGAGTAGTGTTTTTTCAACAACACTGAGCTATGTAATGTGGTGTTCCATCCAATACATCTTCAAGAGTCGCGATGACTCGATATGCACGCATGACTCGATACAACAGGATAGTCTTACTTCCCGTTGGACAAACAACGGGCGGTTCTCGATCGTTCCGATCCCGCAAGTTTAGGGGTTTCTATGCTAATTCTTCACGGTGACTGTAGCAGGAGCCTGTGCGAGTTCGCACTTTCACTACACAGCCTGTAAGGTCGGACCTCACTGTATGATATGCATAACCTACCACTGATGGCGTTAGACTAACGAATCAATACCACACGGGCGGAATTACCGAACAGATTCTACAGAATTCCTTCCGCAAGCTACCTTAGTACGACCTGCAATGCTGCAGGTGACGTGCCTACCCCTCGCAGTACCGAATCTTAATGGGAGAATAACGATCGAAGGTCAATGACTGAAGGGCAAGTTCCCGCGAGGAGAGTGTGTGACTCGCAAGCCACGAGTCATTCTCATAATAATCATATTCGTTTAGTGTGTATCACTTCCGTAGATTTCATGGTCGGATGGAAGGATTGTCGGATTCAAAGCTCTACACGCAGATTCGATCCTTGTGTGGTGAAAATTGTTTGAGCTCAGGTGAGAGCTCCAGTCGAACGTAGTTCCGCGTGAGAATGACGAACTCGAGAATGTTTTCACTTTCGGAGGCGAATAGAGTTAGTCCTATTCAAGCTCAAAGAGTAGAACTGATGAGGATTGTGTTAATGGGCGAGCGAGCATAAATTCAGATATCATTGATGATTCGTTGTCGTTCATAGTTAGAGCACTGCGACTCATGGTCCATGCACGACTGCCCCCTTGTTAGTTAGAGTTTATTTGCGCCAACTGGCTCATTGGATTCAAGTGTTACATCAAACGCAACGAGAGCGTTGTGGTCCGATCGGGCAGTATAGCGGAACGCTTGAGGCATTTGGTTGTGCGCACAGAGATATCGCCAGTTTTGTTCGAACGCGAGTACTTTTTTGTCAGCAGCGAATGCTGTGAGTCCAGTTTGCCTACAATCTTGGCATATTACTTAATCTCCCACCACTAGTGTTGTCCATTTGTGTCCCGAAGGTTATTACTATATCCTGAGGGGAGGCTTGATGAATCAAACCTTCGTCATCCTCATTACAGCGAATGTGCCCAATATCGATTACTGTGCTGCTCAGAATGTGTAGGCGTGAAGAGGTTAAGTGCATTCGTGGGGAAGATAAGTGCAAGTAGTGCGCTTATTGCTATTACCCTAGGGTCGTAGTTTTGGTTGTTCTAGCTCGAGTTCCCTTGTGTTGTTCTTAGAGTTCATCAACTGATACCGCGACATGAACTATTCTCTGTGTGCGCGGAATTTCTATTTGTGCGCGCACCAAATTTGACCCTATAGACCTACGTACATCCTAGGTTAAGACGAAATTGGTGCGAACAAGGCTACCTTGGTTCCTATGAGCCCCGCTTTTGGTATCAGTGAGCGCCCTGAGAGTTGACCAGGGAGGACCAACTTCCAGTCGCATTCGGAAGTTCGCATTCGCATCTGGACTTCAGAGGCTCCTTCTATGCCTACCTCCGTCAAAGTATGTAACGACTCTGATACGTCACCAGTCGCCGATACCACTTCCTCAACCGGCGCTGTGTGTAAGGAGATGGAAGAGGGTATCAGCCTGAGGTGAATCTGCTCTCGTCAAGGCTTCAGTCTGACATTGGTTCTTCAGGGCATTCATCGCTGCGTGTGGAAATTCTGTCATCACCCAAGCCCTCTCTATCCCATTCATGTTCACCACCGCCGGTTGGGTATCGTTCGTTACACAGGCCTTGGCGGTTTGCCTCGCATTCGTTTGCATCCAAATGCTGAGGACCTCTCTCAACAACGAAAAGGTGAGGCTATCCTCATTGCGTGGTGTTGCTGAGTATACACTAGGTAAAGGAATATGCTGAACTGAAGGGCGTTCCTAAATTCGAGAGAGAGTACACATTCCTGGGAGAATTTTGTGCAGGGAAATTCGGTCGAGGCGCAACTACCCTGGTAGGTACCGCAGTCCTTAACATTCGCTGCGAATGATTCGCAGTTTCTTGTTCCTTTCAGCTCATATTCCTACAATATTTTCTCATTCTGATCACCAATCTTGGTGCGATGGGGGTATGTGCAGCACTGTTCATCCCGGGGAGGAGCTGTGAGTCGTGAGGTTTAGCATTGGAACTCTCTCAGAGAACCGTTTAACTGCTCATCGGGAAGAGTGAAGCTCGATGTCTCGTTCGATTTCAGCCGTTACATGTATCATTATCGTATCTGCCATATCCCTCTTGATGATCCTATTGCCATGGCTCAAGGAGATCACATCAATTTTGGGTATACTCGCTATCATTGGCATCATAGGAAGCATGGCGACATGGGTAAGTCTAATGAGGAATCACTTGCTCACGAGTATGTCGTTGGATTCAGGTCGGGTCTGCTTTCGCTATTCTACCCGATTCCCATGTTGTCGACAACTTGCCGGTCCGCGAACCAGCCTTCATCAACCTAGTCACAGCCTTCAGCCTATCGATGTGGACCTCGGCCGACTTACCCTCTTTGGTGTCTTATCTCGGCTCGGTCAAAGGTAGCCGCACTTCTTCAACGCTAGCCCGCGACACAATTTTCGCGTCCATTACTATCCTTGGAAACTGGTGCTTGTGTTTGGCGCTTTTAACGTTATAATCAATAATGTCTAGTGCGTGATTCGATCCTGAGTGCTTTGCATGGCGGATCTAAGTATTAACCAATTAAGTTAGTGGAGACTGTTTCGGGTAGAAACGAAATCTTTGTTCCTGTGTCTGAAAACTCAGAACTATCCAATCTCCATATTCATACTATGAATATGGAGATTGGATATAGATATATAGATTCCTAATTACACTATGAATTTCATAGTGCAATTAGGAATCTATTAGCAACAAAACGATGCATTGCTCATCGTCTTAGTCGCTCTTCTTGTATCAGAGTTTGTGCTCAGCCACGGACGGACGCACGCCGACGAACAATCCCGAACTGCCTCATAAGTTCCGTTCGCGCCGCTCGCTCCGCAATCCGGAATATGTCTATCTGAGGACTCTTCGGTTTATATCTTCTCTAGAGTATTCTGTTCACACGTATTATATATTATTAGCGATAGTATACAATCGTATATTACTCAGCAGAGTGGTATCGATAGTCGTCATCACTCATGTGAGCTCAGGTGCGAGTGATCGCTCTGTTACATGGACTCTCCTTATTTGCTTGATTCTATCCGTCGTGTATGTATACATAATAGGTGTGGCTGGCATGCAGATATGTGATGGTGTTTGTGACGACTTCTACCCAGCGAGCCTCCATAGTGAGCTTCAACCATTCCCTTATCTCGATCCCCTCTATAGGTGCATCTGTGGTACCATCGTATTTAAAATATGGTTTGTATACCTTCATCCTTCTAAGAATGTTCAGCATCATGTTGGTGATCATGGTTCCGCTTATGGTTGCTTGCGAGACTGCGGTTGGTCGTCTTCTGGTGAGCGGTGCAGAGCGCTACCTCCTTCTTCTCTTGTTTGTTAACTTTCATCGTATTTTCAGACTTCTATTAAGCTCACGTCGGGTATCGGTCGACTCAGGGCTTGGCGATTCGTGGTGAGAATCCTTCTCGTGGTTGCAGCTGCCCTGGGAGCCATTTTAGTAGAGGACGAGCTCGCCTACTCTCAAGCAGTTGCATCCACGCTGTTAACTTTATGTAAGAACGAATAATATTTCCTAACGATTGGTTTTCCTAGGTTCCCTCTATTTGTGGCCTTTATGGTTTTACGCTTGCATAGTCCGGCCTGCCGGTTTGAAGTTGTGGGTTGTTTATTTGTCATTGGTCTTACTGGTCGCTTTTATTGTTATCGGAACATATACATCTATCATGGGATTTATTTCGCGCTCGACAGCTTCTGAGAGCTCTTAGTATACCTTGTATGATTATCCGTTGCGCCTGCGGTCGTTCCACGAGGAGCCGTTTCAAACGTCCAGATTGGTTCCCAAAAAACGTGCCGTTTTTACCCAGTTGAGTTAGCGAAAGCCCAGGTACGGTGGACGACAGTCTCGCGCGCGCCTTATTTCGCTACTTTTTCACTGGATCTATGCCCATCATGGTTTTTCAATGAATTTATGGTTGAGTTGTTGGGCGGCACTGCCGATAGATTGGCTGTGGGTTTTGATTCTGGGGTAGAATTTCTTTGATTAAATGCTATCTGGCGAATATGTCGGTATCATATCGTCGATTGCTACTCACTGTTCTCTGATTATACTAAAGCTAGCTTTTGCAAATGCAATACTGGCTGACACAAGATACACTAATATTACGGGTCATGAATTATAGCGTGTGCCTCGAAGTCGTATAACATACTCAGAACTAAACCTTTTCAGTAGTTGTGCTTTGGCAACACCCTAGGGATCCAGCTCTATACTAAGACTGCCAGAGTGAAGGTTCACCATTCTCCCCATCGCTTGCTGATACGGGTTCCCATTCACGCGCTACTAGATCCGGAGTATTGCCGAGACGTTCCAGCAGGTGATGAATTATCCCCATAGGATGGAACAGAGAGGGATCCTCTCTTCATAACGCCCTAAGGCTGCTGCTTGGCTCACTCTTAAAAACCAGTCAGAGAGTTTCTGCTCCCTGTGAATCCGTTTATGTTGGGCGTTCGCGGATTCTGTTCGTGATCTCCACTAAACTCTATAACTCGACGCGATGAGGAAGGGCAAATCATAAGGAGAACTTGAGCCAGATGGCTACGGTTGCGGACAGCCGAGTCCATGAAAATCATGCGTGAATCACTACTACTATAGCAACCTTAATAAGGTCTATGTATAAACGCCGTTAGGCCGCAATGCTAACCTAAGAGAAAGCTGTTACTGTTACTGTCAGCCGTTTCAAGCTTTTGCTAGTTGGCAGATACTTCAGGAGTCTGGACATTCACCCGTTTCGTGTACTAGCCCCCGCGAATGACACGATTCGATCGTGTTGTGGTACGAGAATCTTGTGTTCCTTCCGCTCCGAGGTCTAGCAAGACGAATTTGCCTAAAACCAAGAGTCCCGGCACCAGTCTGTGGTTTCCTGCCTCTTCTCCTGGATTTAATATTCCAGCTACTCGATTCACATCGCATGTTAGTCCTTGACGACCACGATGGGTTCGACTTGACCTATTCCGTATCTTACACGAGCGACCTAAAGATATGTCGGTGGAGTGGGATGTCCTGTGCAGCATTCTTACATGACTCGCCAATCCATCACCGATAGAAGCCGTGAAGCTACTGCCAAGTCGATAGTAAGGCTGCTGTAAAAAGCGCTCGCCCTAGTGATCGATAAGTTGCCAGGGTGTGGATGTTCGAGAAGAGCCGCACCTATCCTGGATTGTAGACGCAGCGGTACTTTGTGGACTCCCTCCGGAGTGGAAAGAATTCGTGGAAGAGGAAACGGGCCAGGTGGCTTACTTCCATACCAGGCTCAAGGTGGGGAAGAATCTTCAGGTTGTTGTTGAGGTGGAGTAGGAATATTATTATAGAAGTATCTTTATGTTGTTGTTGAGGTCGAGCAGGTATATTATTATAGAAGTATCTTTATGTTGTTGTTGAGGTGGAGTAGGTATATTATTATAGAAGTATCTTTATGTTGTTGTTGAGGTCGAGTAGGTATATTATTATAGAAGTATCTTTATGTTGTTGTTGAGGTCGAGTAGGTATATTATTATAGAAGTATCTTTATGTTGTTGTTGAGGTCGAGTAGGTATATTATTATAGAAGTATCTTTATGTTGTTGTTGGGGTGGAGTAGGTATATTATTATAGAAGTATCTTTATGTTGTTGTTGAGTAGGTGGAGTAGGTATATTATTATAGAAGTATCTTTATGTTGTTGTTGGGGTGGAGTAGGTATATTATTATAGAAGTATATTTCTAGTTACTACAACACCATCATCCGATGTTAACGCGATTCAAGAATCTGGCCGAAAAGCAGAGACAATTTATCAAAAATAACGACAGGTGAAATCTTTAGAAAAATTCAAAATTCGACAAATTATGGCGATCTTTAGGCCGACCGGCCCACTGGCAGATGAAAAGATTCTCCGGCAACTCTCCCTTCTATTGGGAGAATCTATGAACCGCGCTCATCGGTGAACATCAAACCCGCACAGGTTCGATCCCCAGCCGGAGCATTCTCCCTTAGGGAACTCCCGCCAGCTACTCCTGAGATAATCGAGTCGCTTTGCATCATCCTTAATATCGACTCTGTTGAGAGTTACCTTCTAGCGGGCCTTATTAAGCGCTCTCTGGACGAGTAAGTTACTGCTGGGCTGGAAAGATCCTATTCTTCGCTGTGCGCAAAGATATGTGGAGTTTACGAAGTAGACAAGGTTAGTTGTCAGCCACACAACGCACACAATCGCAGTGCGCGGAAGCGTTACACATGATAAGAAAGCGTGGCAATGATAACGGATCGTATACCGTGTTTCAGAGTGTACACAATGATAAAACTTGACTCTCGCAGTTATTCTCATCATCTCGTGGATTGCCCAAGCACATACGTTGTACGGAAAGCACTCATGCTTTGGGCAGTTTCTCGTGATCTGGCGTAACCAGTAAAAACCACAAATCCTGTGGATCGCAAAACTTATTCGAATTCCGACCGACGTAATTCATCGGTATGTGTTCTCTTACTGGATTATCGCTGTGCTGTTCCCGATCAATCCGGGATTGGAGACTTACCGCAGCTGAGGCTGTTGAACTAATCTTCGCAGTGCGCAAAGATATTTGTTATGCCAGTCGGTAGAGTTAGCGGACTGAAGTTGAGTCCAATTTTTGAGACGCCTTTTTCACGTGTTGAGTTGATACGTGAGAAAGGCGTCTTAAAAATCATAGAGGATCTATGACATGCTCGAGTCGTCTTGTTCTGAGCACAGCGGAGCGAAGCGTTGCACGATGTGCATTAATATTACTATATGAAACTATAGAAATATGTTGAAAAGCAATACCTGGTAGCAGATGATGAGTCCTTCTTCTCTGGAAGATTCACAGATTAGTTCGATTCGGTATTTCCAACATGGATAGTTACTACAGCAGAATTTTGAAGATTTTTTTGACAAAAATTTTCAGAGCGCAAGAACTGACATTTTTCGCAAGCTTCAATTCATCATATTTTTGTGAGTTTCAGA